TTGGTGCTTACTGCTGAGGAGTCTTAAACTAAGATGACAGGAACTGCTCTGGCTGTGCTGCACTCCTAGGTGGTTTTCCAGTAGTTTTCCAACCGATATCATCTCATCATTTTGAAATCCTTCAACTAATGAAGTCCTTGCAAACAGAACTTGAATATGAATGTTTATCAGTATTCAATTTGGAAGTTATGTTCATTTGAGGAGCAGGTGATTTTTTTGAACTTATGCCAACCTCACGTATGCAGAAATTGACATTAATTTAGGTTTGTTTTAGATCCAGACCCCTTTACAACTCGTTTGTGTTCCAGGCTGTGAGTCGTCCTTATTGTGTTTGGGGCTGATGGTACTGCTCTGCCACTTTGGTTGGAACAGGTGGAGCACGAATTCAAACCTGACCTCCACTGGTTAGAAGTTGACTGCTTGAGCAGATTAGCCACATCTCTATATCAAAAATTATTCTTGGTTATAAATGCACTTTTAATGCTTTATCACTTCATTTTGTAAGTTAATACGATGTTCCCAGTGGAAAATAGGACTTCATTAGTACAACTCCATTTTATCCTGTTCTCTGCAGTCCTTGTTAGCTGGTTCCACGATTGGACATATGCTCTCATCTAACTGCTTCCACGATATCCTCCATGTCATCGTCGGAAAAGTACGCAACTCTTCTTCTCCCATTCGGGTTCCCCTCAAGCGATGACCTGGCGCGTGACATTACTCAACGTTCTGCTCAGTGGCGTGTGTCCAATCCAACTGCATTTTCTTCTACATATTTGTTGAGCAATATCTTCTTAACTAGTTCGTTCTCAGAGTTTCTTGCAGGCACTTCTTTCCGACCACCTATCTGACCTTCACTATCGAGAGAAGACAGCTGTTGACAAAAGTTTGCAGTGGTCTTGTTGGAAACTTCATCAGTCAGAGAAGTTCATAACAGTTAGTTTAAGTCAGCCAGCCAGACACGTAAGGAGATGTGAACTCTCTGACTGTTTGAGATCTTCGGGATGATAAGAATCAATGAAAGCTGGAGAAAATTGGTGATAATGATGACTCAGAATCATCGTTCCCAATGACAGAGTAGACGCATTCACTCTTTGTGATTTGTCATATCCAATAAAACTCTATTCTTCTTCTTCCTTACTAGTATTGTTTTTCCTCCATTCTCACTTCTATTTATTATCTCTTTCGAGTCTGTCGTTACTCACTTCTCTTGCTTTATGTGCTATAGTGAAGGAGAGTGGCAACTAGAAGTGGTGCACATCTGTGCGAAGTTCTGTGTTGAAACAAATCAATCACAGTTAGTCATATCGCCGCATTTATTTGTTTCTGGGACTTCATGATGGTGTTTTTTTTACCGGTTCTGACTTTCGGAAGTTTGTTTGTTCCATTGCAGGCAACTGAGTAGAACGTAGGTTAATCTCAAGAAACACAGTCTTTTTTCACCATTTAGATAAACTCATCTTATAGCAGTTGGATCTAGCAACTCAGCTGCAGGTACAGCGTCGGATTACTAATCAGTTAGATATAAAAAGAGCGATTTTGTAAGTATGTAAAACAATTTTGCATCTAATTTTCTTCTGACATTATATAGTACAAGGTAGATTTGGGGTAGTCAGATTGTCAGAACATAAGAATATAGCTAAGGTTACAGTGAATGATCCCGCGAAGATAAGTGATTTAGAAAAGTACTAAGCTATTGCACTGCATGCACTAACACACAACCACACAATAGTGTGGGACAGGGTTAGGATTCTAAAGAGAAATATAGGTAGGCGGGGAAGGAGAGAGATTGAGAGGTACTGAATCTTTGTTCATTGAGTCTACATCCGAAGAAAAATAATGGAATTATCTGAACGAAGTTGGGGAGTTGTGTGGATACCTCGATGTGACTATGAGGAGTAATAAATTGTTCTGTAAACGTCGTCATCAGTAAATATGACTATGTAATACTGTGTGATTTTGTCAAAATAAATTTTATCCATAATGAATTTGCTTTAGCAACTAATTCGCTACTACGGGGTGCCACCGACAATTATACATCTCATCCAACAGCTGTACGACAATGCTTCATGCCAAGTAATCCACAACGGGAAACTTACGGAATCCTTCGAAAAAGTGAAGACTGGAGTAAGACAAGCTGGCTGCCTACTATCGCCAATGATTTTCCTGATTCCAGTAGATTGGATAATGCGACAGACAGCGGGCAATGAGGAAACAGGCATAAAATGAACTCAAACAAAGAACTTGGAGGATCTGGACTTCGCCGATGATATATGTCTGATTTCCCACAAACTGGAAGATATGCAAGCGAAAAGCAACAAGTTGGAAGGAGAAGCATCAAAGATAGGACTTCAGGTGAACATAGAGAAGACAGATGTGATGAAGATTCCTGGGCAACACCACCAACAGCAGCAACAACAACAGACAACAATCAGCATAAATGGAAGGAACCTGAAAGAAACAACCTCTTTTACCTACCTGGGAAGCATCGTTTCAACTACAGGCGGACTCGACTGACGAGAATATCAAAGCAAGAATCGGAAAAGCAAGACAAGCTTTCACTACTCTCAAGTCTGTGTGGAGGTCAACAGCACTCAGCAACAAAAGTAAGATCCGGATTTTCAACTCCAATGTGAAGTCAGTCAGTGCCACTCACTATACGGATCAGAGACTTGGCCAGCTCGTCATAAAGAGCATCTCAAACAAACTACAGACCTTCATCAACAGTTGTCTTCGCTCAATACTCAAGATCAGATGGCCGGAAAAGATCAGCAACAGGGATCTCTGGGAGCGAACCAACCAAGCAGAAACCGATTGTGAAACAAATAGGCAGGAAGAAATGGAGATGGATTGGCTGGCCATACTCTGAGGAAACCATCAAGTGACATCACTAGACAAGCCATTGCTCGAGTGGAACCCGAAAGGGAAGGGGCGAGTTGGTCATCAATGCAACTGTGACATGGAGGTGGTCATGTGAAGAGGAGATGAAAACGTGTGGGCAGACATGGAGCCAGGTGAAGACTCTAGCAGAGAACCGAACTCAATGGAGGCGCACGACTGAAGCCCTAAGTTCTTCTAGGAATTAAAGGATACAATAATAATAATGAATTTATATTCTCCCACTGTGGACAAGTTTTCTTCTTATATCAACGAGACAAGGAAAAAGAACATCACCTTGAAGAATACCGGTTAAAGTAAGTAAAGCAGTGGAAAACTTCACATATCGTGTTGATTTCTAAAAAGATTTTTATTTTGGCTTATTACACAAAGTAGTTGAGTGTTTCTGGAATAACTCAACCTCTTCTCTCACAATCTACTAACTGATGTATTCAGCCAATTTTTTTCTGTCACTGTTCAACTTTATTCTTTCCTGGACTTATCAAAAGAGACTATATCATATTACCTAGAACATTATCCGACTACCGACCAAAGGGCGGGTACTCCGTCCTCCTTTATGGCTGTGAGACCTGGCCATTGAGAGTGGAAGACATGAAAAGATTAGCTGTCTTCGATCATAGGTGTCTGCGTTCTATCTCCCATGTGAAGTGGTATAATAAGGTAAGCAATATTGAGGTTAGGCCATCGGTCGAGTGCTAGGTAAGGAGGGGAAATCAGTCGACGAGACTGTGAAATTACATCGACTGAGATGGTTAGGACATGTGCTACGTATGCCTAGTCATCACCTTCCTCGACGGGTAATGTTAGCTGATATAGGGTCAGGCTGGAAAAGAGCTAGCGGCGGTCAAACGAAAACATGGCACCAGTCAATGAAATCTACAACAGTTAGTCTAGGCCACGTAGGAAGATGTAGACTTCCTGACTGGTTGGGGTCCTCGGGACGGTAAAAACCAATGGTTGGAAACAATTGGTGACATGGCTCAAAATCGTTCTCAATTGCAAGCGCAGATGCATCCACTCCTTGTGACTTATGATTTCCAATGAAACTATTTTGTTCTTCGTTATTACTATTCCTCTGTTTATTGTCTATATTATGCATTTCTTCTACTTTCTTCTCTTGCTTTGTGTGCTACATGGAGTGTGGCGACTTGAACTGCCGCACATATGTGCAAAGTTCTATGTCGAAAACAGACAGACACACCTAGAACATTGAAGGCTGTAAGTAGGTCTAGTGGTGTTGTTGATGGACAATTTAATTCTTGTAAGCAGTTGGCTAAAGTTAACATCGTCTGATAGCGAACATCCCCGTTAATCACAAATTTTTGCTCATCTCTCTTCTGTAGTAAAACCAGAAGAAATTCCATAAGAATTTAGGCTTGTGTGGGAAAATATGAAAAATTCTACCATACCATCATATTTAGCATGGGTTTTGTGTGAAGATTTTTTAAATCCGTAACTGAACTGTAAAAGTATAAGCGAAGATTATTATTATTATTCCATGTATTAACTATGATATTATCTATTTATAGTTCATTATGTTTTCTTGGTCTTGTTATTATTGTTAGTTTTAATTTTATGTAACTACATACTTGTAAAAAGAGTTAAATTGTTGTAATATATGTAAAACTATGCTGCAAATTCCATTCTGTATAATCACTGTTGTTGTCGGTGTTTGGAATACAGTGATTCTTACAGTGTGCTCTGATACTATTGATTGGACGCTAGTTACTAATTAATGTCCAATCAAAAGTATCCACTACAGTAGTCCTACAGGAGGTCAATTACGAGGCCGAATAGCTCACTGGTGGTGGCGTCTCTGACTGCAGGCGATACTGAGTGACACGGGTTCGAATCTCAGAAGGGGGAGATGAGTTTCTTGAAGGTAGTTGCAGATACGCCTTGGTGACTGACTGACTGACTGGTGAGTACCAACTAGCACGAAATCTAGATCATGCAAGGCGGCTTCCTGTGGCCGATTGCCTTCAACCATCTAGTGTACTGTGATATCGAATCTTGCTGTGATTTATGTTTTCATTTCATCACTATTCACTCATCATCCCTTTTGTCATTACAACATAGCCTCCTGTCTTTTTATTCTTCTCTAGGTGTTCTAGTTGTTTCATGGTATCCACCAGGAATGGCAGATGATAACGGCAAACCAGTGGATGATTTAATATTGCCATTATTAAACATAGCCAATAAGTATGCAATAAAGGTATGTATGTTGATATGTTGAACTGTTGTTTTTTACTGTCTTTTGTTTGACACTCAGTTGTTTCTTTTATTTTCATAAATATTTCTATTCAAATGTCTAATAAATTGGCGGCGACAGATCTATTCCCCACTCTAAACAGTCATGTGTTAAATATGCAATGTAGCTATAATAATAATAAGAGTAATAATAATAATTTGCTTTATTCCAGAAACAGTACTAGTGGTACAGTGTGAAATTTTCAGCACATATCTACAATATTTGCATCTAATTTTACAGACATTTAAAATAAGTATTAAACAAACAAAAAAAATAAATCTAAAGACACCAACAGCAAAAAAAAAACGGGATAAACACAAAAATAATTATAAATGCGAAAAAGTACCAAGAAGTAGGAAGGAAAATAAACAGAATATAATAATAACTCAGTATTGGGTAGTGGAAGCTATGGTATGGTTATGCACGGTGACAGTAAAGCTATAGTCATACAAAAAGTTATGAAATGATATTTAAGAATGTTTATCGCCAAGATGATCAGTTAATTTGGTTGAAACAACACTGAACAATCATAAAATAACATTTCAGGGTTGTTGTTTTGTTTTTCATTGTCAGGTGTAATGCGGTGTTTGTAGTGGTAGTGTGAGTAATCCTGCATAATACAAAATTTTAAGATGGTGACTATGGCGTTCACAACCAATGATTGTCAGTTTAATATTGCCGAAGAGTATAGAAAATAAGAAAAAACAGCCACAAAACTAATAATTACATGATGGCTTATGACAGGACAATTTTGTAATACTTATAGTGCTAATAGAGTTGGGACCAGTGGATACACAATAGAAGGAATATAGTAAAGCACAAAAAAGGAAGCCAATGTTAATAATTTAGACAGCTAAGTATGTTTAAGAAGGAGTTCACTATAGAATAGAAAATAAGAGAGAAATAAAAGAGCCTAAAATTATGTTATCAACGACAAAGGAAGTCATAGGTTTCACGCTTAACATTGTCTCTGTCACTTAGAACACGGGCCAAGTATGGAATCGTTGAGTTCCTGTACTTGGTTGTGCGAGCATAGATTATTTTATACTGATTTTTGGTTCTACTTGATGACATACAAGGCGAGAGTTGGGAATAGATGGGGTGTTTGGGGTCGGAGAGTATGGTTTTAGACCATTTTTCGCATGTATTCAGATGCCTTTCAACTAATGTAGTGACGAGCTGACTGAGTTCTACACCACTAGTCCTACTGACTACCTTCAACATCCTTCTCAGGATGGTATAGTCCTTTTCTTTTATTTTCATAAATATTTCTATTCAAATGTCTAATAAATTGGCAGTGTCAGGGTTGTTTCCTATTCTAGCTAGTCATGTGTTAAATATGCAATGTAGGTATGTGGTATCTCTGTGATTTGAGAAGACAGTGAACAGCTTTGTCGTTGCTGATGCTTTTGAAAATGTATCATTAATTTCTGTGATGAAGTGTCAAGTGTGTGTCAAGTCTGAAATTAACCTTATGAGTTTTTAATGTTTTCCGAAATTCTCATTTACACACATTATGGAGTAAATTTATTTTGAAAATGTCTCACAGTGTTATACAGTAATATTTACTTTATAATTTTATACGAAGTAGTTTTTGTTTAATGACTTGAATTTTCACAGGATTTCATCATGATCTGATCTCCTCGTGATACGATCTCCTCCATGTCACCCTTGGATCAACTACGTCCAACTCGTCGTTTCTCATTCGGATTCTACTCCAGCAATGGCCCGGCGCGCGACGTCATCCAACGGTCTCCTCAGTGGCGTGCGCCAAGGCCATTTCCATTTTCTTCTGAATATTTGTACAGCAATCAGCTCTTGGTTGGTTTGTTGCCAGGGTTTCTCGCTGTTAATTCTTTCTGACTGGCCATTTGGTCTTCACTATGGAGGCAGAAAAAACAGCTGTTGATAAGATCTATCGACTGGCTGTTGGAAATGTTTTTCGCGACTCTCAGGCCAAGTTTTTGACCTATATAGAAGCATTGACTGGCTTGACATTCAAATCTTTCCCGTTGACAGTGATTGGTGTTGGTTGTTGCAGTTCGTTGGTTATCCTCATCACCCCCGTCTTCTCTCTCTTCACTTGGATTCTTGTCTTCGCTATCTACTCCGTCAGGCACTCTGTTGGTTTTCGCCTGAAAGTCTTCGAGTTTGTGTGACATTAATCATAAATCATCCAAGTGCGAAATCCAGATCTTCCAGAGTCTTCTTATTGGTCAGTGCAGTGCCTTCCTATATCCGCGCTCCCTACAGTCTGTCCCATAATCCAGTCCACCAGAATTAAGAATATCACTGGCGATAATAGGCAGCATTGTCTCACTCACTCCTATCTTCACTTCAGAGGCTTCCCTAAGTTCCCCGTCGTGGATCAACTAACACATGGCAGGCATTGTCATATAGCTGTTGAATGAGTTTGATATAGATTTCAGCTGCGTCTTAACTCCACTTAATTTGTACTATATGTCTCGAGTGACAAAAAACTACACAGTTGTACTTATGATATCGTTTTGTGGAACTGTTAAATTTTCGTTGAATTATTCTATATTCATTAATCGGTTTGATATTAGCTGTACCTACTGAGTCTCAATGTCAAGTTACATTACCAGTATTTTTAAAAGTGCATGGCGTCCTCAATCTTATACGAAGTATTACTTTGGAATGTAGTCAATTTACAAATGTTACTTGCAACAGATTTCCAAGTGCATGAAAGTGCATATGACCGTTTACTCATCAATAGATCAGACGAAAATTACTCAATGAGAATTAAGAACATTTTCAACGAAATTACCAACTTATTGATTATTAAATTCTTTTTTGCATTCAAGTTCAAGTGATGCTTTCTCATGCATTATCAAACAAATAATCAATCGCATGGAGGATTTCATCATGAGCTGACATCAGTCAGAGAACCACTGGAAAACCTGGGAGTACTGGACAGCTGTTTTGTCCTAGTTTGATACTCTTTATCAGTACGCATCCACTGGGATTCGAACCCAGGACCTTCTGGTTACAAGGCGAGCTCGTAGACCATTGAGCCACTGGGACCCGATCCAATGGTCCTTGAATTCTAACTTCTACCAATTCACGACATAGTGCGACCACTTTGGCAATGTCTTCTTCGATGAGTTACCGATGAAGAGTCCCAAACTAGGATGAAACAGCTGTGCAGTACTCCCAGGTTTTCCAGTGGTTCTCTAACTGATGTCAGCTTATGATGAAATCCTCCATGCAATCAAACAAAATCCCTACAAAACCAATACTTGAAAATAATCAATCAGATATTTACTAATATAACTGGAAGCTTTTCTCTCTGTTTTAACATGGACAGATTATTACCATCGTTATTCATTAGATTTGTCTTTTACGAGTTCATCACGAGGTGATATCAGTTACAAACCAGCTCTTTAAAATTAATCTGATACTCGCTTGTGACTCGCTACAGGAAGGAGTTTCCTGGAGTTCTAGTGAGAAGTTTTGACCAGTGAGGTTCATCCAGTCAAGTGTGTGAGGATGGAGGGTGGTTGCGCTAAATCACTAATTGGTAGAAGTTAGAATTCATGGACTGGCCATTAAGGAGTCGGGTCCCAGTGGCTGAATGGTATACGAGCCAGCTTGATTTGTAACTGGAAGGTATCGGGTTCGAACCCTGGTGGTGGTTGCGTACTGCGAATGATTCCCATAATTGGAGGAAACAGTGAGCTGTCCAGTACTCCCTGCTCTTTTTCAATGGTTCTCTAACTGATATCAGTCAGTAATCAGCTCTTAAAAAACAAATCAGATATTCTGATTGGACACTAGTAACTAGTGTTATGCTTCTAGCCCTTTCTTTGGTGTAGACTGAATTCTGTCAGTCAGGTATTTGCAATGTGGCCACCATTCTAGGTAGCTCGCCATCATGGTGTACATTGATTCGATATTAGATAGTTGGAGGCAATCGGCCACAGGAAGCCTTGGACCTAGGTTTCGTGCTAGTTGCCACTCACCAGTCAGCAAGGCATATCTGAAACCTTGAACGAACTGATGTCCCTCTTGTGAAATTCGAACCCGCGTCACCCAGTGCTGCAGTCAGAGACGTTACCACTGAGCTATTCGTGCTCGCGATTGACCTCCTGTAGGACTGTAGTGGATATTTTGATTTGACACTAGTAACTAGTGTGATGCATCTAGTCCTATCTTTGGGGCAGACTGAATTCTATCAGTTAGGTTTCGCAATGTAACTGGATACTTTTCGCTCTCTATTAGTGTGAATAGATTATTACCATCACTATTGATTTCTTGCATTCTGGCTGGAAAATATATCTCTAGCCTTGCATTTCTGCTGCACTCGGTTCATTGCCATCACCTTTAATTCGGCTACAAAACTAATCATTAACTATCATGTTCCTCTTACACGATCTTTTCCATATCACTGTTAGACACCGAACCCACTACTTTTCATTCTTGCTCCACTAAAATGCCACTCAGTTTCTTTTCGCTACTCAGTGGAATCTTCGTCAGTTTCTTATAAGAATGTTGGTATTCCTTCAAATGACTGTCGCCTAGATCAAGGATCTTCTTGCTGTTTCAGCAGAGATTTAAGGTTAGATCAGATTTAGTTCCAGGTAACATTAAGGTTAGAATTAGATTGAGGTTAGGGCTAGATTAAGGTTACATTTGAGTTGAGCTGAGGAATCATTAGTTGGGGGTGTAGTCTAAGACACTCGTCTGGATGAGGTTTGCACTCTAATTACTGAAAAGCATTCGTTATCAGTAATAATAATATCAGCGTATCTGTAAGATTTGGATTAACACATATGCAAACGTTGATAGGCCTACTGAAAGTCATTCACAACTCGTTGTCCTAAATCAGTTTTCTTCAAATTATCCGGTTTCACTATTTAAATCACCTATCTGAGTGTGATAGTGTTTAAGAATGCATAGAATAGTCATATCACCTTCTTTTTCTGTTGGTTGAAAATATCTTC